AAAAGGGGTCTGAACAGAACTTTGGGGATGAAGGGTGGGCCGTGAGTGAACAGTATTATGGAATGCAATACATCCCCACGTGTGGTATACGTGCCTCTGCAGGCACACGAGATGGTTTTAAGCGGCACATAGATTTTTTTCTTACAGTTAAGCAGTTTAGTTAGTGTGAATTTAAAATATACGAACACCATGTTATCCTGTGACGTTGCCGATATTATGGCTTGGGAAAATGTTTTCCAAAATCCTGAAAATAAGTTCCTTAAAATAGCTCTATTCAATAAACAATTGGATTGGTGATATGCACATGTAGCAAATAGCTTGAAACTGTTAGAGGAAGGACTTTACATGCCATCCAAATGGTTATAAGCTTCTGAGTCAGAGAAACCTCATTCAAACCTGGTCTACCACTTACCAGCTGTGTGACTTTAGGAAAGTAACCTAATTTCTCTGAGCCTCAGGGGAAAATGGAGGAGAATAATAGTAGCAGCTTCACTGGACTGTTGTCAAGCTGAAGCCAGGAGCTTTACACTGTAGTGGTGTGAGGGCCCAAAACCTAGAGCCAGCTGGTCTGGTTTCCAATCCTAGCTCTTCTGCTTACTAGCTCATTGACACTGAGCAACTTACTTCATCTTTCTGTGCTTAGTCTCCCCATCTGGAACATGGGAACCTTCAGAGGGTTAAAAGAGTTATTACATTTGAAGTGCTTAGAAATATTTCTAGTATATTTTATGTGTTTCTTAGATTAAAAATACATGTATATAAAGCTCCTGACACCTGACACCTAGTAAGTCCTCGTGAAATGTTACCCATTGGTGGTGTTTTGTATTTCCAATGCCTGGAACAAAGAAATCTACAGTCAGAGTTTGATTAAGAAGCAGCATTTAATTGCCCAGGACTCATGCAGAATTGACAGGGCCCAGCACCTCTCTGCAGTAAAAATCAAAACACAGGGCCATGGCCATGGAGGCTGGGCCTTCTTAAAGGACTGCCAGGAGTGGGGTTGGAGAGGGGCCCCAAGCTAGCTTTCTTTATCCTGTTGAAATAGGTGTGGGTCATTCCAATTAAGAGAAAAGGAAATTAAGTTTCAGAGAAATTAAGCAAGC